ATATAACTGAAAAAAAAATTCTCGTTTCTTTTTTGAAGAATAAAAAGACAGAAATTATTTATGACTCTGCCTAATTGAAGGTTCTCCGTGAAAGATTAAGTTTGCACCGTGCTGGAAATAATTGACAGGCTGGAAATAATTAAACAGCCATTGTTTATCAACTTTCTTTGATCCTCCTCGAAGTTTTCAAATTCGAGCGTGAAAAAAAAAGAAGCAAAACCACTCTTGAATCGAACCATTAAAATTGCACATAACATTTTGAACATCGAAGAGATCTTCAAAGGGACCGATCAAATAAATAAAGCTGCGTTGATCGCAATTCTGCTGATGATACGCCTAGAGCGTAAGAGACATGCGCATGCGTATGTATGGGGGTTATGCAATTTGGCGTGCAGAGTTCAAATTCCAGCAGAGACCGTTGCTTTCACTTTCGCAAAAACAGTCTTGCAACGGTGTAAGTCCATCTCTCTCCCACCCAAACTAGAGGTTGTTACCAGGGTAGACTCGACGATCTAGCCTTAAATGCAACCCGTCTAGAAGGAAAAAATTCTGAATTCAAAACCGCCCGAAGAGGGATAGGTTTCGTCAGGATATATTGCCCCAGGCACACCACTGCTGCTACAACTGCAGTAGATTTGGTAACCCTAAGATTTTAAAGCGTTAAGGGACTCCCGACGGTATGTCTGCTAAATGTGTCATATAATGAAGAATTTCCTATTCCGGCTGGTATATGTTTTTGTTCGTCAAAGGAACGGTGGACGAATGCCATCGTGCAATATAATAGCTTCCCGGCTTCTCTGTTTCGTAAGTGGACTTTGTTTATTTCTACGGTTGTAGCGCTTAGCTGTAGATTTCTTAAGTTTTCATATCCCACCATATGTAGAGCCATGTTTTTCTTATTGTTGTGGATTCCAAGATGAAATCCGGTCTCCAATGAATGACAAAGGCAGGAATGAAATATAACAAATAAATGTATTTACACAATAATACAATTGGTAATACGGTTAGTAGATCCAGAAACGTGGTTAGTAGCAATAATAATATATATACACAGTCTGGTAAATCCAGTCTCAAAGTAGGACTTCCTTAGAGTCTACGTGCTTGTAACTGTGACTTCTACAAGCGGTTACCTCACACTATTACTCTACCTCCAACTCACTCACAATCTCTCTCCGCTCTGACTGACTCTGGATATTTAACTGCAGCAGTCCAAGTACACACTGACAGAGTCCACTTGTATGAAAAAGGGGTGGATCCCATAACACATAAAAATTAGGGTTTTACTGATGACGTTTCCGGAAATTTCGGATCCAGTTACATTTTTTTTTTTGAGACTTATAATAATCGTAGGCTCGGACTTTATTCTCCAGTAAGAATCTTATCCGAAAAGTAAATTATTCACGCATGGCGACAAGTGAAATGAAGGGTAGGAGACGCTGCCCATGTTTCATTATTTTTTTTATTTTTACGTTTTTCATAATTCACACTGAGTGGGCATGTACAAAGCAACCGTTCTGGTAACAAAGCCACCATCAAACTTCTGTAAATAATTACAGTCAGAACATTAGCAAAGGACACACAGTAGAGAAACACATAATGTTTGTTACTCAGGAGATTATTTCTGGTGAGGTGATTGTCATTTTCTTTGTTGATAACAGACTCAAAATGTTTACATTTACAAAGCAGATGGAGCGATGCAGCGTATTACTTGTAAATGTTTTCTCTTTGTGGAACCCTGCGCTATCACTTTAGAAAAATTCTATTTTCTAACTTGGTAAAATAATTAGATTGTAATAGGATTTGAATGAAATTTGAAACATCGAAGGTCGCTTCAGAATTTTCAAACATGTGAAAATTGAATTGATCGAAACGATTGATAATCTGGTGACTAATTTGTGTATTGTTTTAAAAATGTCTCTTTTGTATTCATATAATCTTTCATTTAAACTTATATATATATATATATATATATATATATATATATATATATATATATATATATATATATATATATATATATGCACATTTCATTGAAAACGACAGACAAGGTTCCTTTATTTAGTATTTTATACAATTTCTCATACGATCTATTTTTTTTTTTTTTCAGATGATAAATTATATAAAAAGTGTCCGAATATTCAAACAAACCAACACTTAATAATATTAACTTTGAACATGGACATAATATCTTGACCGTGTTTTGAAAAACGAAAACATTTTTATAAAACATACATACAACAAACTATTTCTTATTTTAACAGTTAAAATGTAATCCTTGATAATGGCTAAATGTATAGCCGAAAGCGCTCAGATAAAAAGAACATTCGGACAGTTTTTATATAATTTATTATCCGAAAAGAAAAAAAAATTTAGATCGCATGAGAAATAGTATAAAAAGCTAAATAAAAGCACCATGTCTTTCGTTTTCTATGAAATGTGTATGGAAGAAGGATTGCTGCCTAAATACAGAAATATATATATATATATATATATATATATATATATAGGTAAGATGAGAACGAATAGAGTACAATCCCAACGTTCGTAGCATTCAATTTAAGAGATGTCTCAATAGAAAGTAGGGTAATATGAATCGTCGAAGGTGTCTTCAAAAGTTTCAAACACATGGGAAAACTGCATGGATCGAAATAGTTGATAATCTTGTGGGGAACTCTCAAATGAAATAAACTATTTTGTAAAATGTTGCAAACTATACAAGGCACCATCTACTTCCAACCGAATCATCGCCATCACATCAGTCATCTTCGCTTTTTCTTTTGTCTTTCCAACACGATAACAGACAGTATGCACTAAATGTACCACCTAATTTGAAAGCGTAAAACAATTATATTAAGAGAACTTTCACATTTTTTTTTATCTAGATGGAATTTATAGGAAACAAGCATAACTTCGCTTGATGAGAATCAAAGGGATGTGTCCTTTTTATGTGACGAATTAATAGAACCTGAGCAGATTCCACATCCAAATCAAGAGCCTCTGATTGACCGCGTCTTCAGGTGTCTTGCCGCAATCACCTCACATGGCCAAATGCGTGTTGGTGAGGTTATTTAACGCATAGTTGGAAGTATTGAATTCAGAGTTGACCTTCTTCTAGTCAGGTGGCCACCCAAGGCTATAGAATCACGATCTTTCATCTATTTAATCCTAGCTATTTGGGGTGGGGGAGAGAAACGTGTATTTGCTCGTAAATTAATGTAACGACTTGATTGCATTTCGGACTCTTAACAACTATAAGAATATTCTATCCCTCAGTCCGCGCCGCTATCCTCCATCCTCCAAGCATAAAGAACACTTACTCGACATACTTGCCCAGACAGACAGACACACAGACACATTATATATATATATATATATATATATATATATATATATATATATATAGATATATATATATATATATATATATTATATGGCATATGTAAAAAAGTATGAAATATTAAAAAATATTATGTATTTTGTGTGTGTGTGTGTGTGTGTTCACATTTATATATTTAAAATAATGGATTTATTTTGTCCCAAGATGATTTCAACAAAAAAGAAGAGAAATAAAATGTGGGACTTTTAAAAAAGTTTTGACATTTTATGTTCTTTGCTTTTGAGTTTGTTCTTCTTATAAACGCCGATAAAAGACGTTTTTGTCTATGGAAAAAAAAATCAAAACCATTTTGAAACTGATTAAAGAAGGAAAATCATCAAAGAATGAAATATATATATATATATATATATATATATATTATATATATATAAATATATAGATAGATATAGATATAGATATAGATATATATATATATGTATGCATGTGAATTGGAATACAAAGAACTGTGTGTGTGTGTGTGTGTGTGTGTGTTTATATATTGTTGGATTTCCTACATTTTTCAACCGTGAAAAAATTGTTTTTGCATGAAATCACTTTGAAAACACGATTAAGAGGCATCATGAGAATGAAAGGGGGGGGCAACTCATATCGAGTTATATTTATTACAAAACCCAGGTTGTGTGTGTGTGTGTGTTTTGTGTGTGTGTGTGTGTGTGTGTGTGTGTGTGTGTGTGTTCGTTTATATATGGGATCGGATTTCCTACATTTTTCAACCGATTTCAACAAAACTTAAAAATTCTTTTTACAAGACAACAGTTTATAATAAAATTCTATTCAATCGATAGACTCATAACAATTGAAAACAATGTTTTTGTTTGAGTTTGGGTTTGACCAATTCGTTAAAACAAAACAAAAAACATCAACAAAAAAAAAAAAACTAATTAAGACATGCGTGTCCGTCAACCTTAAACAATAATCTTTGTCAATTTTATTTTTCAGTGTTTATGATGGTCGATTTCTGTCTCTCAAATTTATCCTTAACAATTCAGTTTCTATTGACCTTTGTGCGTTTTTAGTTTGTTTTCAAGTGATTTTTCTTAATTTCCATATTTTCGCACGTGATAGCTGGAATCAGACATCCCTTTATGTTTTGTAGCTCCCTGATATAATGCAATGGTTACTAAGCTTATCTCGCTAGAACAATTGTGACTGAATAGAGAGTTCGATCCTCCCTGGGTGCCATCTTTTGGCCTTGTGTCACATCTAAGATACGTTTAGAAAATCACCGTACTCTTTACATTTTAAATATATTAGCAAGATGATGTTTTAAGCATATTTCGTTTAGTATATTAGTATATTAGGTTTTAAGTATATTAGCAAGGTTGGTTGCTTTTGTTCAGCGGCATATCAACATTTCTATGGGTTCTTTAATGCCGAATTCAAAATATTTTGTACGCAATTCTATTTTTATTTGGCCATAATAATAGTTTTAGCGATACAAATCTTGCTAATTAACCCATAGCTGGGAGAGAAGAGATAGATTCATATCTTTCCCAAGGGTATTTGCGCATAATTGAATGCAAAAAACCCGACCGGAATTGGAACGCGGCTCTCCGATTAAGAATTCTGAGTTATTATCCATTACACCACCTGCACTTCAAAGCTTACATCACCTGCCATTACCAAGCGATTACCCATCTAAGTACTGCCCAGTCTCGATGTTGCTTAACTGCGGTGATTGTACGGGTAACGGTGTTTCAACGTGTTGTAGCCGTAAGCCGCATATTCTTTTGGTAACAGTATAATCTGATAATTTTTATATATATATTCTGAACATTTTGCTTAAGGTTCGTATTGTCTTGCTCTCAGGTGAAAAGCTGGACATTTTCCAACGTGCTTCAATGAAATTTTCACTCTCCAAAAGTTTATAAGTTTAGATATATGGCCAAAAAAGGATAGGGTGTTTTCTTTCAACATATATTTATATAAAGTTTGGGCACTTCGAAGTTTTGTAATGGCTAACAAACTTTTTTTTCTTGCTACATCATTTACGACTATGTAGGGAGTTTGAGCCTCAATGAGTACTTTTGTGATGTCAACCGACACTCGTTGCCACTTGTGTGATGTCAACGGACACTCCTTGCCGCTTTTGTGATGTCAACGGACACTCCTTGCCACTTTTGTGATGTCAACGAACACTTGTTAGCACTTTTGTGATGTCAACCGACACTCCTTGCCACTTTTGTGATGTCAACGGACATTGGTTGCCACTTTTGTGATGTCAACCGACACTCGTTGCCACTTTTGTGATGTCAACGGACACTTGTTACCACTTTTGTGATGTTAGCCGACACTCGTTGCCACTTCTGTGATGTCAACGGACACTTGTTACCACTTTTGTGATGTCAGCCGACACTCGTTGCCACTTGTGTGATGTCAATGGACACTTGTTACCACTTTTGTGATGTCAACCGACACTCGTTGCCACTTGCGTGATGTCAACGGACACTTGTTACCACTTTTGTGATGTCAACCGACACTTGTTACCACTTTTGTGATGTCAACCGACACTTGTTACCACTTTTGTGATGTCAACCGACACTCGTTGCCACTTGTGTGATGTCAATGGACACTTGTTACCACTTTTGTGATGTCAACCGACACGCGTTGCCACTTGTGTGATGTCAACAGACACTTGTTACCACTTTTGTGATGTCAGCCGACACTCGTTGCCACTTGTGTGATGTCAACGAATACTCGTTGCTACTTTAAAAATCCTCGTAGTAAAGACTTTGTAATTGCAGATACAAGTTATAGTAACGCCATTGTACAATGTTGGTGTCAGACGCCTCCGAATAACACTCGCATTATATAGAGGATATTAATAGAGGATAGATTAGAAACAGATCAATTAGACGTCACGCTATATTCTATATATGCATTTTCTCTATGGTCACGTGGTCTACTCGATTCAATAAGGCGATCACCTGTGTTTGCTCACTGGCGATCTACGTTCAAACTCAAGTGTCGGCAGCGACATTTTATTCCTATATAACGGGTATCCTATACTTTCTGCTTTGTGCCACACCTAAGCTTCACTGAATAAATCCCTATATGCTGTTTTAATTGATTTCTCTTTAATTCCATCGAATGTTCAAAGTAGATGTATTCGTGAGATCCTTCCGGTTCATAATTGCCTATTTTTGTGATCCTTTTTGGGATGTTGTTGAATCATACATTTATTTTAATTTCTGTTCATTCTTGAGCTTTGATTTTTTTTTCGGTATTTGCGATTCATCTGAATATTTCAGTACAAGTAAATTGTCGCAGGAGATCGTAGATTGTTTAAATGTTTAATATTTATTTTCCTTCCAAATCTTCCACATGAATAAAGCGCAGTGTATGTGTGTCCGTCTCTCCGTCCGTCCGTTTTTCTATCCCGGCGAATCCTAAACAACCTGAGTAACACAGGTAGTAACTACTGCGATTCAAAATTGAATAAATAACTCATTTAAACTGTTTAACTATTTCACGTTTATTTTTTTCCAAATCTTCTATATAAAGAAAGCATATTGTATGTGTGTCCGTCTCTCCGCCCATCCGTTTTTCGATCCCGGCGAATCCCAAATAACCTGAGCAACACGGGTAGTAACTACTGCGATTCAAAATTGAAGAAATAACTCATTTAAACTGTTTAACTATTTCACGCTTATTTTCCTTCCAAATCTTCTATATAAATAAAGCGCAGTGGACGTGTGTCCGTCTCTCCGTCCGTCCGTTTTTTGATCTCGGCGAATTCTAAACAACCCGAAGTAACACAGGTAGTAACTTCTGCGGTTAAAAATTAAATAAATAACTCAATTAGATTTAAATATCGAACAGAGTGAAAGGTATGAAAAATAATTCTTTATTAAAGGTTTAACTTTAATTTCGTCCATCACCGTCTCTCCTCCGTTTTTCTCATGACATTTTAGGAATAGGCTGGGCCTTTACCGTCATCTCTAACATCGCCACCGGTTGGAAAGGAAAAGGATAGGGTGAGAGGATAAAGATCCCAATGTCAATAACCTGTATGCCGACGCCGCAAACGCATATATATATATATATATATATATATATATATATATATATATATATATATTATATTTGGATAGATGTGAGTTTCACCCTTTAGTTTCGTCGCTTTAGCGTCGAAACCCAGGGTCACAAACTCACATCTATCCAACCAAATGTGTTAACTCTATCTCTGATATTGAGCGCTTTCTAATAAGTACCGCGCATATAATATATAAATAATTATACATACTTATATTTATTTATATTTATATACACTTTTCACACACACACACACACATATATATATATATATATATATATATATATATATGTGTGTGTGTGTGTGTGTTGTGTGTGTGTGCGCGGGGTGTGCGGGTTCTGATAAATTACTTTCGAATGAATTTCACTGGATTATATTTTATCATGGGTATGGAGAAGGTTTTGAGATTGACTACACAGTTAACAGAACAGGTCACCTCGAAAGTGGTGTAATGGTTAGCAAGCTTGTCTCGCTAGAACAATTACGACTGAGTAGTGAGTTCGATCCACACTGGGTGCCCCATACTTTCGGCGTTACGCCGCATCTAAGCAGCGCTTAGAAAATCACCACAGTTAACAGAACATTTGTGGACGCGGCAAATCCACTTCAAGTTTCTCTAAGACAATCTGTGATCAGTCTGGCGTAACGTTCTTGATAAAAAAAATCCAAAAAAAAAAAAATCACGAGTCCTTAATAGTTCAGATGAGAGATTAATTCCTGCCACTGGCGTCATATATCCCAATATAATTTCTGCTCTATAGTTATTTTCATGTCAAATGATTGGACGAGTTCCATTCGTTAGAACTTTCCAGGTCATATCTTTATAGCTAGGACCTACCATGCCCCATACACAATGCCAAATTATTCTCACTTTCTTCTTCTTCCACTCACCTCCTTCCGGAGAACCGCTTACTTTGTAGAACAGTGGTTATTTCCCTGATTGCTACAAACATTTTCAAGTCGACATTTTTCTATCCTTCATATCAACATATTCTGCACGTAATTACGTCCATACGATAATGTCATTCAGTAACACTTTAGATAATGAATATAAGTTCTCAGGTCATATATTGGTCGATTACTTAGTAAAAACAAACTTGCGGTTGTGAGTGAATGAGAAACACTGAAACTATTGCTTCAAGAAATACTCCGAAGGACCAGAAACGTATTCAAACAGTTTACCGTGTCAGAGAATACTTTAAACATTCAATAAAATTTATTAGAGTTACGTACATTTTATTGCTACCATACTGGTGTTTAGAATCCTGTGAGCTTTCAAACTCATAACTGGTCCTCTTAGGAGAGAATCGATTTTTTAATGGATGTAACAGATTGAACTTTGGAAATACAACGGGCATTGGATACAAGATCTGTATATATATATAAAAAAAAGGTTTAGGGTGAAAGAATAAAACCTGCACTCGTACGGAGTTTCAAAACAGGATTACTTGTTGGGGAGGAAAGATTAGTTTGTGTCGAATGAAAACTGGAAGCATGACGGGAAGAGTTAAAAATGGCGACTGAGAGAGAAGAAAGAGCGGCATAATCTCTATGTGCAAGGACTGAAGGAGAACACAAAAAAGAAAGAAAAGAAAATGAAAACATTGAAAGAGAAAAAGAAGTATATGGAAAAAAGTAGAAAATCTAAGGAAAAGGTAAAAGATAGATGAAAAATAAAAACAAAATCAAATGAGGAAAAGTATGCATATATACAAGATAAAGAATATATGGAATATAAAAAAAAAATCACCTGAACGGTTAGATTTCTCATTATCGGTGGGAACCAATGTTTGAGGAAAGGTGAAATCCAGGTTTTAAACAATGATTTTTTAAGTCATGGGAGAGGGGTGGGGAATAAGTCCACTATGAAGTCGGGGGGGGGCAAAGTATATTGTAACTTGATCATTCTAGTTTCATGACGCCTCTTATTTGATTTTCTCCCTTGTAAGCTGAAGTCCGAAAATTGTCCAGAAAAAATCAAACACAACGAAATGAGACGAAAACAGATATAATAGAAAGAAATAATTGAAGGGAGAATAAAAAGGAATAAAAAATGAATAAAAATAAGTGTCGACTTGTTTGATTAGATATTCTACAATTAAAAAACAAACACACAAACAAACAAACAAAAAACCATCACAAGCGTTTGGTGTTAACGCCTACATAAAAGCCTTCTTGTCAAAGGCTGAAACGATCGAAAAAAGGAGAAGATAAATAAATTGAGAAAAACATATTTTTGAAAAAGGAGAGGGAAGCGAATTATTTTACAAATTCCCTTACTATATTGGGTTTGTATCTATTAAATTAAACGAAAAAAAAACAAAAAAACAACAAAAACAAACAAAAATACGACCACAATTATCTATCATAGACTCAAGTGTCCTCATTCTGACCAACGAGTTAACGATGACACCCGATACAAAAACATTTCACAGCTCTTTGTAAATAAAACAATAATACCCAACAAAAGTATTTGTTAGAAGCAAAGAAGTGCAAAAAAAAAAAAAAATACTGATTTTAGAAGTTTTCCATAATGCGTTAAAAAAACCAACACTTAAAAAAAAAAGTCATTGATGTAAATATATATATCTGGAAGCAAATAAATAGAGGTAAGACCTTCCTACTTAAAAGTTTATGCAACTAAATATTTCTCTATTTATTTACCTGTATATGCCAGTGC